TTTCTTTGACTCATTGACCTATTCCAATGTGGCCCATAATCCTATTCTTCTGCTCTCCAGTGAGATTTCTCAGTAACCACCACACCACTAAGTCCAGTTTATGTCAGTATTCATCCAGCCAGAACTGCATATGTTATTTATTATAGTTCACCCTCCAAAGGAACTGTTTGCAAAAAGCTTTGCCCATGATCTGTGGTTCTATTGAGAGGGGCTGAAACTTTCTATATATGAGGCTTACTGGAAGGAAGTTAGGTCATAGGTATGTGCCCCGGAAGGGACCATGGATACCCAAGTCTATCTCTGTTTCTGTCTCTCTCTCCTATATTACACTAATAGGTAAGCAGACCTCCTCTGCCACACATCCATCATGGGTCCACAACAATGGGATCAAGTGAGTACAGACAGCCATGTCTGAAACTATGACCCAAAATAAACCTTTCTTCTTTCTAAATTGATTGTCTCAGGTATTTTGTCAGAGTAATGGAAAGCTAACTTATGCAATAGTCAACTCTTGCCCAAATCTTCCTTTTAGAAAGCTCTCTTCTATTTAGCTTTAGGGCAATATACTTTCATGGTTTTCCTCCTTCCTCTGCAGCTCATCTTTTGGGCAATCAACTTTTATAAGTTCTTCAGCTCTCTGCCCTTGCTCTTTTTTTCCTATTTCCTCAACAATTTCATCCATTTCTTCCATTTCAGTTACTATCATCTATATATCACCAACTCACAAATTTATAATCTCCAAGCTAAATAACTCCGCTGTATTCTTAAGTTGTTTGATTGCCTCAGAGGGACTAGAAATCAAACCAAGATGCAATCAAGCTCATGATCTTCCAAACTAGTATGCCTTGCCTATATGAAGGTCACTGCTACCCACCTGGTTATGAAAGTTTGACTCCTCAGGGTTGTAGAAAACAGCCTCTCCTTCACTGGCATACATCTGACCTACTGTCCTATGCATACTTTTGAAATGCATTTAACATGCAATTTTCCCAACATCCACTGCCAGTCTTTGTGTGTGTTCCTGTTTAGATTCTACTATAGCTACTTCACATCTGGTCTTCTCACTTTTTCCCCTCGTACTCCTAAACCAATCTCCAAGCCATCTATGGCCAGACATCTAAAACATAGAAAATGAAATTGAACCCTGGAAGGATAAATTAAACAATCCTTAACTGTGTTCTTGAGGCCTTAATCTGATATATTAAGAATTATTTTATTGACTTCTTTCAAAAACCCCTTAAACTTTCAGTTCCCTACACAAAACTATGATTAAATTTTAAGACTGCTGGAAATTTTAAAGGTCAACTTATTTTAAGACAGTGCTTTAGAAATGTGTTCTTTCTAATGATCTTGTTATTGGTTTGCTGAGTGTTTCTCTTGGTTATTATTAATTTCAATTTCTTAGCTTAAAAGTAACACAATAAATTGTGTGTGGTGGTGCATGCCTGTGATCCCAGCACTAGAGAGGCCAAGGGGAAAAGATCAGAGAGTTTGAGGCCAGCCAGGGCTACAAAGTGAGTTCAAGGCCAACCTGAACTACAAAGTGAGACCCTGTCTCAAAAGAAAGGAAAAATAGTGACTCAATAAAGGTAGAAAAATACAGTTATTTTTTCCAAAGGAATATGTACAGTTTTCAAAATCTAACTTCTACCAGCAAACATCCAGAATTTACCAACTTGATTCCAAATTAAGCATTTTCCCTTTGTCTGTTAAGGGATGTACTGTGTTATAAAGACTTTGCGCTTTAATTTAGCTTCAAAATGTTAGATGATAATCTCTCCAGTTGTGAAGATGTTCAAGGTGAGTTTTAAAGCTTACAGTTATGTGTTTACTCTCTTCCACCTCTGTCAGTGCAGACTCAGGAGACAGCCACAGGAGGTCCGCAGACACAGTCTACAAGACAGTCATTTGAGAGACATACCCTTTAAAAAAGTACTTTAAAGAACACTCACAATCCCATTTTTAATATTTTCCAGTTTCACTCTTTCCATTCTTACATCACAAATGTTGGGTAGCTCCTACTGAAAATATGTTGTTTTACTGCAGTTCCGAAATATATGGGTTTGATTTAAAAACAAAAAAAGAGGCTACATTTGATACAGTTTGGAAATACCAACCTGAATCTCCATATCGCATTAATCTGAAATACTCTGAGGAAGTTAGTGGCTCAAATGGCCTTTGGGGAGCAATGGATCTCATCTGATTTCTGACACATTGATGAGGGTTTGATGAAAGGACGGAGCACTTAGCGTCCAGGCCATTGGCTGGATGGGCCAGGGCTGCAGTTCGGCTCCTGAGCCCCTAGCGCCTCCAATCTGCAGCAGCTCCGGAGTTTAGCCCGAGGCTAGGTATCAAAGCTAAGGCCTCCTCCACTGGGCACTCTAGGAACGGAGGAGGTCAAGGAAGCCTTCCGCAGGTGGAACTTGGGTGCTACCTAATCTGGAGATTGGTGTTATCAGAAGGAGTGAGGTGTTCTGATTTTATTAGACCAAAATAAAATCAACTCAGGAATACTGCCAAATTTCTCTTTCAGTCTATCACATCGTCTCACTCAGTCTGTCTTCCTTGCTGGGGAATTGCAGAAATCTAACGCTGACCCTTTTCACCACTTAGCGGAATCCAACGCAAAAGAAGTGATTGTTAGCAAGGACAATTTGCGCTGTGCTAGCGCACTAGCTGGCAATTATCCATCAGTGAGGAGGGCTCCCGTGTCCAGTGCAGCATGTGGAAACCAAGGGATCTAAGGAAGACACAATGAGCTAAAATCAGAGGCAGGACTTAAACATACCTCCCTAGAGAACATAGTGCACGCTTTATTAGTCGGTTGGGGAAAGGCCGGTAACAGCGCAGGGCTGGTGACCAGGAAACCAGGCGTTTTCCGCGCCTTGGCCGGTAGCAGAAGCCCTTCCTGAGAAAGGCGGAGGGATCAGCCAAGGGGTGGGGCATGGGTGAGACTGGGGATGTCCAGCCCTCGGGGCGCGGTCCGCCTGCCAGCTCTAGATCGGGACAGTCAGCCGAGAAAGGGAAGAGAGGTTGGCGGCAGTTTTCTAAAAACAACACAGCTCCACTCTCCCGCGCGTGGCCCTGTTCACCCCGCCCAGGCAGTTGAAACCGGCTCTCCGGGGCGGGGCGGCGGCCAGGTCTCCAAAGGAGGCAGGACCGGATCCGGGACTCTGAGACGGCTCGGCCGCTGCCCGCGCCTGTAACCCCTTCTCTGTCAACCTGCCAGGACTGAGGTCGCTTCAGGTCGCCCTCAGTTTAGTGATGCCCCCACCCCCGCGCAGCTGGAGCCCCTGGCTGAGCTGGGCGCAGGGAGGAAGGCGAGAGGGCGCGATGGTGCGGGTGGCAGCGAGCGTGCGGGTGGTAGCGAGCGCCTGGCTCTCCGCCGCCACTGCCACCACCGCGCGTCTCCCAGATCTGCTGGGCGCGGCTGCGTCTCCGGCTCGCCCCCTGCCGCTCGCGCCCCTTAACGCCCCTTGTCTCCAGCCCAGCCTCAGACCCTGGCTGTTAGAGCTCCCTCCCGCCAGCGCTGGGAGGAACGTCCAGGGTAAGGAAGGCTCGAGGCGTCTCCAGCTGGACAGCGGGGCTATGGGACCCCAACCCGAGTGGGAACACCGCAGCGCGCGCAGTATGTGTCCCCATCCCTAAGGGCTCGCGTCACCGCGCCTAGCCGAACACCGCGCACCCTAAGCGTCCTTCCTCCTGGACTGGGCCCAGTCCTTCCACCAAAACCTTTAACCAGAGCCCCCTGGCCAACAGCCTTAAGCCTAGTTTGCCAGACCTTGGCACCAGGTAGGAATCAGACTGTGTTTTAGCCAGTTTCCAAAAAGCTACGACCTTTTCACCTCCCCAAGAACTCCTTCTGAGGGTTCCGGGGACAGTTTGCCCCGGACTGCCTGATTGGTGGCCGCAACTTGACTGTCCTTTGCATTGTCCTTGCTGCTTGTATTTGCACATGCCACCAGCAGCAGTCCTGGGGAAGCCCTCAGGGCCGAGGCTAGGGCGCTTGGCACAAGAGGACGCGCAGCCCTGAGGTAGGGTGCAGGGTGGCAGGCCCTGGCGAGCTGATGTGCACCGTAGCCTTTGGCCAGGAGCTGGCATTGTGGGGACCCTGCCACAATCACTTCTCCTCCGCCACTTTTCTGCCTCCCTCGGGACTCACATAACGGGACACTTGACCCCCGGTTTACAAAGCCCACGCTGGGTGGAGTCTGCCCGGGACTTCCCTTATCTGGAGCGCAGGCCACAGTCCACCCTCCCGGATTCCCTGGGACCGAAATTCTGGGGAACTGTGACCCTTGCAGCGCGCAGAGGGCACCCGGGGGCTCTGTACTCCAACCGTGCTCCCTAACACCCGGCTGGGTGGTCTTGCTGGGTTGCAGCCTGCTTCGCGCGCCCAGCGGGTTTTATGCCACCGCAGCCTCTCGCCCGGCTCCGAGGTGCGGTTCCTACTGCAGCCTGGCTCTTTCCTCTCGGCCTTAGGGTCACAGCGACGCCCGGCCGCGCCCCGCCACAAGGCTGGAACTGGTTAAGTGAAAGGTGGCAGGGACTGATACGCTCCTTGCGCTCCCAAGCGCGGCCCGGGGACGTGGAGTTGGCAAACGGCAGCTGCCAACGCCCGGCGCTTCTCACCCCACGCTGAGATCCGCCTTCCTTGAGCTGCCTAGCTGTCCCTGGGGTCCTGGGCGCGCACCCGAGGTGGGCCCGTTTCGGTGCCCATTCTGAGACACACACACCCATAACCCCGGGCGCACCCCCCCCCCCCAGCGCCCGCCTCCCGGGGGAGTTCCTCACTGAGAGAGACGGGGGATAGGGACAGCGAGCGAGGAGACTTGTCCTCCCAGGCTCGCGTCGGCAACTCCGGGCGAGCCTGTGCGGGGAGGGGAGGCGCGGGGGAGGGGCGCGAGAGGGGAGGGCGGCCGCGCAGGGGAGGGGGTGCCGCGGGAGAAACTCGCGCTCTCCGCTGCCGTGCTCATTGCCTGCGCCTCTGCTTCCCGCAGACACCGGACCGCCCCTGGGCGCCAGCTCCTCGGCTCCAACCCGTCCAGAAACAAACCGGATTTTTTTTTTCCTGGAAATTGGCTTCGGTTCGTGTCACTCTCCTTCCTCCTCCTCCTCCCAGCATTTTTTTTTTTTTTTTTTCTTTGAGACATGGCCCGGGCAGTGGCTTCTGGAAGAGGAACAAGTGTGGGAAAAGGGAGAGGAAATCGGAGCTAAATGACAGGATGCAGGCGACTTGAGACACAAAAAGCGACGCGTTCCTCTCGGATCCAGGCATTGCCTCGCTGCTTTCCTCTCCCCGGGACAGACTGAGGGTTCCGCGGCTCCGGGCGGAGTTGGGGCGCTGCGGATCCTTCGGATCCCCTCTGCCGGGCTTTTCCCGCACGCTCTCGGCGCGCGTCGCGGACCGGCGAAGGCAGGATGGACGCCGGGCTGCCGCTGCTCTGCGCCGCGCTCGCCCTCGCCCTCGCCCGGGCCGGCGCCTCCCGCAACGGTAAGTGACAGGCGGGGCGCGAGCCACCGCGCTCTCCGGGCACCGGGCACCCACGTCCCGCCTGGGTCTGGCTCCCTCCATGGCACCGGGACCCAGAGCGCAAAGCTGCACCAGGAACCGGGAGCGACCACCAGCCTCCCTGGCCGAGCGAGGGAAACTTTGACCCGGGAGGAGAAATAAAGACAGAAGATAGGTCTGTTCGGGGCGGGAGGACTGCAAGTGCCCGGGCTTCCTCCGAAGTGGGCGCTTTGGCTGTGGGGTTCTCCCGCATCTGCGCCAAGGTAAAGCTCCTTACCGCCCCACATCAGCACACCAATTATCTCAATAATGTTTCCTCCCCAAGGCAATTAGATGAGACTCCCTTTCAAAAATCTGATGGCTGTTGAAAGTTAATGAACGCTTCTCCCGGAGAACTTCCTGGTGCTCCTGCAGCTCCCCTAAACTGCTTCCTCTCAGGGTGCAGGCTGAGACACTGGCCAGTCTGGTCAGTGGCCGGAACAATGTTCCTGCCTTTGTAAATCGTCCCGCTCGGCCTGGAATATGAATGAAAGTTCCACAGAATGAATAAAGGAATCTGATCTATAGGAGGCACCAGGACAGCTGAAAATCCCTAACCTAGTTGCAGTTTCCACTTAGCATTTAAAACCACTCAATGTTCAGTAAATGAGAGACTGGGCTGAGGGACAGAGTACCATGTAATGTAAATAACGTGTTTAAAACCGTGATCTGGTCGTAGGCGTGTTTGACTAGCTGCAGAGTAGGGGAAGGAGAGGGCATGGGATTATCTGTACTGTAAATCTTCAGCAATTATTATTAACTAATGATCAAATATTTACTTTTGTCTGGTTTAGATTTCAATCAAAGTAATTAGAAGAAAGGCACATGCACTACTTACTGTAGTGTATTGTTTTAATAAGAGACCACAATTTGGAAGGACTGACACCAAGACAATTTTAAATCACTTCTTTACGGTGGAAGTTAATCTGGCTAATGTGCTTTTTCATAATTTAAGCAACAGATTTGCTCCAACAGGTACCAAGCAGTATTCTAAAAGATGTGCAAAAAATATTTATGAATGTGAATAGAGCTCAATTTACTAATGGACCTGAGTTGGTGGCATCTTTTTATACTCTGGCACAGAAGCAAAAGCACTCAAAAATTGTGAATGTGAAGTTCAATTCATTAATGAACCTGAGCTGGTGGCATCTTGCTGTAGTCTGGCAGAGAGTAAAGTAACATTCTGCTCCAACTGAAAAAGCTCCGATGGTTAGTTTACCAATGACAGCAATCCACCCTCTGTCCTTCACCACTGCTGGGATGACATCCACTGGGGTGTTTACAGGACGGATTTGGAAGCCAGTGCAAAGAGCTTTGGAGATTTTTGCTCTCAACTCCACACATACATGCACTTACACACACACACACACACACACACACACACACACACACACACACACTTCTTAATTTCCCTAGCAGAAATCTGGGGAATGCTGGGAATCTAGGCTCCAGTCATGATCTAAAGCCATGTTACCCTGTTGGAAGTGACCAGAGCCAGCCCCTGCCTCAGTGAGCGAGCAGTCCTCTTAGAGCTGCGTCCACCTCCTCCAAGTACCAGTGTCTGCTAAATTAATTCATTAACCTTATTTAGAACTAATGGTCCAGAGTCATTAGAAATTGCTCTTTCTTAATCAACTGTTAGAGAGATTTAACAGAGCCAGAGAGTCTAGCAGCCCACATTATCTTATTACACTGTCACTTTCTCAGAAGTCACAGATTAAAGAGCTCTGGTGTGGTACCAAGTCCACCTAAATGTCTTCTGAAGTGACTCTGTCGAGTGACTGGGACCAGTGCTGTTTTATTTCAGTCCTCTAACAGAGGCCAGACACTGCCATGATATTTGTACAGAGCTGCAGGAGCCTTAATGAGACAGGGTCACTTTTCCAAGTTTTCTGCACATTTAAAACAATGTGCAAGTCTCCACAGAGTCACTAACTGAGTCCAGGATGGTCATTAGCTGCGATTCAGGATGCCAGTTGCAATATTATTTCTTCTTGGCAAGCCTAAGGCTTCTAAAAGCCAATGCAAAGGGATCCAGTGTACAACTACCCCCAATCTCAGAAACAAAGTCAGAAAAGAAACACCCAGCAATTGAAGAAAACAACATAATTTATATTGTCTTCTTTTTAATTTATAGTAAATGTCTTCTGTAATGCCTGTAGCTTTTATGCATTTTTGATGTGTGCTGCATCTTTCATTTCCATTTGACCTGGTTTTCCTGTAATAAAATTCTGTAGATTTATAAATTCATGCTGAGAGCAAAGAATGCCATTCTCCTTCCACAGGGAATCTATTAGATGCAATATTAAAATCTATACATACCATTACTGAATATTTGTGATTGATAGGCTTCTCTATTTCACTGCTTTCATACCTGTTTCTCTTACGTAGTTTATGCACCAAATTCATATTGCTTAAAATTAAGCACCAATAAACGTGGCAGCCTTTCAAGCTGAGGCTCTCCAGTATGAAATCCATCATAAAAAGTGACAGTGAGGATCCACGCTGAACAATAAAGCAGCCAGCTGACTGGTCCATCTGAGTCTCAGTGCACAACCTCACCATTTCATTTATTTGAAAGAAAGATTCGGAACTCGTCAGCTCACCTTTGCCAGAATTCAAGAATGTGTCTCACCATATGTGGGACCCAGACCGCAGTGCGTGCGTGTGTGTGTGTGTGTGTGTGTGTGTGTGTGTGTGTGTGGAGGGGTGTTTTTCACTCCAACATTTAGGTAATTAGAATTAATGCCGCATGACTATTTATTTTCCTTTCTGCCCCATCGCTTTGATCTGGTCTCCAAGCCTGTTCAACTTTGAGAAGTAAAACAGAATTGTTTCTGCCTCACCAACTGCACTTTGTTCTCCCTTAATCTGGATCTCAAGAGCAGAGATAACTCAAAATCACTTAGATTATGCACAGATAAAACAACAACCAGAAAAAACACACACACACAGCTTTGGCTTTAGGCCAATCAAACTCTAGGGAGATAATACTCACTGCTCAGAGACACAGATGGACTTCTTATCAGAAAGCAACACAAGGGGCGGGACAGCATCTTCCAGTCCTGTTCTGCTTAGAATTTGCCACTTAATGTGATTACTCTTCTTGAGGGATAATTAAGTCTAGCAGAGGCTCCCAGGGGACCATGTTAACATCAGTTGAGGGATTTAATGTTTTTAATGCTACCAGGTCTTTTTCTTGGAAAGGGGCTTTGGCAGGTAGGAGAAGGACTTCTCATATCTCAAGTTGCTTTTCTGCTTTCCTGACCTGCAGGAGATTAAACAGGGTTCCTTGCTGGTGTGTTCTTCTCTTCTCTTAGTGCCAACTGGAGGACTCGTGGGAGTCTCTTGAAGTTTCTCTTATAAAGTTACTCAATATTTATTAACTGGCAGTGTGTGCATAAAGCTACACTACCTAGCTGGTTGTCACGGAAAGATGTGCTAAAATGTTATTTTTATTGCAGATAAATGTGGCGGTACTATAAAAATTGAGAGTCCCGGGTACCTTACGTCTCCCGGTTATCCACACTCTTACCACCCAAGTGAGAAATGTGAATGGCTGATTCAGGCTCCGGAGCCCTACCAGAGAATTATGATCAACTTCAACCCGCACTTTGACTTGGAGGACCGAGACTGCAAGTGAGTGAGACAGTGTTTGAACAGGGCGCCACAGCACCACCTAGTGGTCACGCGTGTCTATGGGGAAACCTATGAGGCAGTGTGGGACCTCCAGGAATCCAGGAGAGATTCCAGGCTTGGCCAGATCACATGTCAGTGGCGTGGAAATTAAATTATCTTAAGTGATTTTAGAGTTCCTCAGACTGATTATACTGAAATGTGCAACCTCTCAGAGTCACTATCCTGTTAACGCTTTTGGTTTGGAAATCCTTTCTTAAGAAATGTGTACATACCGTTCTCTGCTCAGAAATAGTTTGAAGAACTGGAAAGCCAGACTCTTCTGCAGTTTTATCAAACATGAAAGATCACCAAGACACACTATCCTAAGAGGGTGAGGCTAGATATTGTAAAACCAAGTCTAGGGTACATCATATGACTTACTAACTATTTATTTGAGTTTGACCAAAAAAAAGCAATTCCTCTTGAAAAAAGTACATGGGGCCAATTAAATGAGTTCTTCAAACAGTAGACAAAAGGGTGAAAGACTTTTATGAAAATTCCAGAGAATAATTGTTAAAGCACAATCAGTGTGGGATCTCAAATATAAGCCAGTGTTTATCCAACTGTCTTAGGCATGCTAGCGCCTTCTATTGCTAAGCCGCTAAACAGGGATTTATGTCAGATCTCATTGTCATGAGGATATTTTACCACAGAGACAGTCTGAGTTATGTTTCTTCACTTTACTTGAAAACACTGGAGTGTGGGTGTCGCTATCCACTTGATGGAAATTACACTTTTACATTGCATGGGGCTCCATGCAATGTAATACATTGCTCTGGTCTCCAGAGATTTGAACCTTAGTGTTGATCTTTTATGAATTTTACATACATGTATGTATGTGTATGGGTTCATAAGTACATATAGTTATTTATCCATTTGCACATCTATCAAAGGAAAATAATCTATTTAAATATCAATTATAAAGTGATTCTTGGGCAGGAGATATAGCTCTGCATATATAAGCGTATATAAGCACCTACCTGGCAAGTGTGAGGTCATGAGTTCAATCCCTGGTACAAAAAAAAAAAAAAAAAGATTTTTGGGAACTTATGTTTATGCAAGTTTTAAAACAAATCATTTTGGTATAATCACATACAGTGTCATGATGCAGACTTGTTTACTATTAAAGATTCTGTTTTCATATATTTGTTCCTTTTAGGGAAGAATAGAATGGCATGGAAAGGTTCCCGCCTGTAGAAAGCCCTCAGCAACCTGTTGAGCTGGTGGAGCAAAGTAGCTTTGTGTGGTGCGGGAAACAGGGTCCTTTGGTTAATTCAACATTTTGGTGTCTGAAGAATTAGCATAAACCCATATACTGAGGATTGGTTTCCAAACAATCAGTATCTATTACAGTGCAATAAAATTATGCTGCTTCCAATTTAATTTTTATTCTGTAATTCAAAAATGGTTTGGGGCATTGTATTGACTTTGTAATCGTATGTGGAATTGGTCACTGATAGAGTGTTGTGGTGATTGCTGGGAAACAAGGAGTCCATTGTACTGTTTTTAAATGTGTGCTGGGGACCAAGCCCAGGGGCCGTGCATGCTAGCCAAGCGCTGCCCACTGAGCTGCACCCCAGCTCCTTAATGCTCCTTAGGATGTTTTTCCAGTGTTAAAAATCTAGACAACTTAGAGAACTGTCTCTCATTTCCTTCCTTCCTTCCTTCCTTCCTTCCTTCCTTCCTTCCTTCCTTCCTCTTTCCTTTCTTCTTTCTTTTTTTATCAGTTTATTTATATATTATGTTTGCCTCTTGAGAATGCTTAAGCTGCTACAGGAGATTCTGTGTACAAACTCTGTGCACAATCAAGTAGTAACCTTATCACAAAAAGTAAGGTGTTATTAGATTTCAGTGAACTCATCAGGAAATCATGACCAGGTAAATTTGTCATAGAACAGAGACTCAAAGTAGTCATTAGTTATTAGCAGTCGTGCACTGGCAAATGTTTATCAACTGGTTCCTGGGAAACGGAGGACCAGCTCCCGGGTTCTAACATCCCCCATGTCCCTGATGTCCTGTGGTGGTCAGCTTCACCCCCCACCATGTGACATCTGCACATGCAGGGCCCTTGCACACTGCGAGAGAAACTGTGGCAGAGAATCCTGAGTTAACTGTGTGAGGATCTTACAGCAGCACCTGGATATCTGTGCACTTCCCCAAATCATTATTTGGTATAGCATATTGTGGGATACAGCACGGGGGGATTGAAGGAGTTTAGTTTCTTTTTTTTTCAAAATAAGAAGATAAAGGATGGTCATAATTTATGGAAAGGTATTTTTGTGATATCAGCAAGCTACTCAAGAAAGTAACAGCAAAGAAGAATTGTTTCTATAACAATACTGCGATGATGAGGTTTGTTTTGTTTTGCTGTGGAGTCAGGTAATCTCTTAATTGTCATGATTGAGGCTCTGCTGGCTCCTGAAGGAGCCAGTCTCATGCCCAGTGTTGACAGCCTGATATATTTAGCCTGATGAAGTCCATAGAGATTATATTGATGGCAAATATCTCTGTGCTGTCTTTTGAAGCATTGCTACCTGATATTTCTATCCATGAAAAGTTCTAAAAAGTTGTAGAAAGACTAATTTAAGACCGTGCCTTTGTTGTCATTCCAAGGTGCTTCACATGACTTCTGGTGGTTATTGAAAGTTGAAATTCGTTGAACATTGCCCCATGCTTACCCTCCTTTGTGAATCTGTGAGCCAAATTCACAGCTTTAAAACTTACACGTGGTTAGAATTGCCTAGAAAATTGGAAAGCATGAGAAACTCCAAAGAACCACAGAACAAGGTCATAGACTTCAAAGTTTATATTAGATGCCTAAAAATATAACTTTTATAATTTAATTGGGCCATTTACAGAAGTAGATGCAAGATGATACCACAGAACTGAGTTCAGTGAGCCACATTTAGAGAGCTTGTGGTTATTAGTTCTGTTAGAACACACTGTTCATCTTATTTGGGATGTTTCAGCTTCAGAATGTGTTTAATGACAGTAGAAATACATGATGTACTGGTGTCAAATTACTGGTAGCGTAAAGTGAATAAACACATCTGAAAGCCTTTGAAAAGTTAAAGCCCTCCACCAGCTAAGTTATCACCATTGTTATATCCTAAACAACTCAGTTATTTTTAAGACATTGGGACGTATGAAGCTAACCATGTCAAACTAAATACATCAACCCAGCAATGGGAATGATGCCCATTTAATATACTCTGCATTTTCTCTTGAATTGTCAGTATTTGAATAGTCAACTTCACCATGAGAAAGCTGAAGAAATCAATTTCTTAGCATATTTGCTTATTGAGAAACAACTTTCAAAGCAAGTAAGCAGTTTTCTTTCCTGAGGTGTAGGTAGCATGGAGACATACTTAAATAGATCAGCCAAATAGCTAGGGAGGGAGAAATCTTTTAAAGTTGTATTGTTTTATATTCTAGTTATTTAAAACCTATCATTTCACGACTATAACAATTTAGCATATAATTAGAACTTTTCACGGACCTGGCACAAAGGATGAATGGTTCATAACTGAACTATGGACTGTACTTTACAAAATGAATATTACTTTCACACAGTGCTGCTAGAGGGGGAATATTTTCCTAAAAATAAAGGTGTAAGTTGTTTCTGATACTTTTAAAATCTACACTGGCGCCTCCACTCAATCAGGTTCAGTATAAACATTGAAACCATAGTAATATGATGCTTTCGGTTCTTTTTTTGAATACAACGTGGAATCAAACAGTCAATCAGTAAAGCAGTAGAACATCCTCAGATCTGACCCCTGGCTAGGATTTCTGGTTAGATATGGTTATGTTGAGGTAAGACAGGGCACTAAGGATGTCCTGCAGAAGGTTTGAGAGAATAGAAGAATGATACTTTCCATCCTTTTTTTTTGTCTCAGCAAAATGCTGCATGCTTGAGTAGCTTCAAACACTATTAAAATAGAAAAGAAAAGGAAAAAAGGATAGGCTGTTTCTCCATAAGAAATACTTGCTGTCTACTGCAAATCGTTTTCAGGATTTAACGAACTAGTTAAATCTTACTTCCCCAAAGTTTCCCTCAGTGCTAAAGCAGACATCTTGAATCTCATAAAACTTTATATCTGTATAATAAACGAGAATGCCATTGATACAGTAGTTAGAATTTATGAAACTTTTCCGGTTTCCCAGCAATGCAAACTATCGCATGATAATTTATAATGGTTTGTGACAAACACTGCTGAGAGAAGAGGTGTGTGGTTACATTCGGATCAGATGTCATCCTCTGGGGAGCAATAAAAATTTCACAGACATTGAGTTAAAAACATTGAGAAAATGAATGTGATGCCCCAGAAAAAAGTCCAAAAAGGTCGTCTTGGAGAGCGAAAACCCAAGAGTGGTTTCTTAGTGACGAGATCCTGAGTTCGGTGCTTGACTTGGAAGTGCTATTTCTAACAGAGCATGCGGGCTTTCCTGTCTGCAATTTAGATTTATAATCTCTTCTTTGTGGAGCCAACAATAGACACGTTTTTCCTGATTCGGTGCACTCAAAGGAAGACTTCATTTTGCTCCTATAACTTCACATGAGGTTTAATCACAATTAAATTATAATTAAATAGAGATAATAGCCACATTTTGGAATTGTATTGGAATAAATCACACATTGTTTCTTTAATGCTACTTTTTAAAATCATTACAAATTTTGAAACATTGCACATCTCATTGATTTTCATAGGGTCCAAATCCATCCAGCTGAAAATCAATCTGCACGTAGCTTTCAAATCTGATTATTTCTGCACATTTAATTTCACAATGATCATTGAGTCACGTACTTGGCTATTGAGGGTATATAAGTTCCATTTTTTTGTTTTCCTGAGTAATATTTTCTGATTTGATCATTTTTTTCCTTCTTTTCACATGACATTTGTTCCTTTCCATTAATTTTGATTTTTTTAAAAAAAAGTTATATTAAGATACTATTTATC